ACATACATATATATTTTTTTTTTTATTTTTTATATTTTGCATAGATATATATATACATATATATATATATATATATATATATATATGTGTGTGTGTGTGTGTGTGTGTGTGTGTGTGTGTATTCATAATAAAATTAAAATTTGTGCTAAAATATTAGGTTTTAAGTACAAATACAAGTTAATATATGATAATTTCTCGTATACCAACACGTTTACATCTTATAAGGACTATTTTTCTTCTTTTAATATTGTTCATCTCCAATTGTATTTAAAAAAAAACCGATAATATTTTATTGTACTTTACAACTCTAATAATATTTTAAAGTAGGAGATATATTCAAGCAATGTTATATTTGATTTACCCGGACACGTTGATTGCCATCAACTAATCATATATACGAGTTTGCATGAGGTCCTGAATATATATTAATTCAACCTAAAAACAATAAAAAATTTGTATTGACGAATACTACAAATTAAATGGTAATAAATCAATTTTTTTTCATATTAAACTTTTTGTTTTTATTGTGTTAAATTTTTGTAAGATTCATTTACTATTAAATTTTAAATATTGGCATCTTAATTATATAACTTTTTAGTTTTGTTGTAGATTTCTATGAACACACACTCTTTTATTTATTTATATATATATATATATATATATATATATATATATATATATATATATATATATATACACACACACACGCGTGAACATCATTTAAAATATTAATATATTAATCAAATTTCAAAAATCTTACGATTTACAATTTGTTACAATAATTTTAGATTCGATTTATGATTTAATAACCATGTTTGCAGAACAAGACAGACAGTTTAGGCTTTACACTTGAGAACTTAACAAAGCTAGATATAAAATCAAGTTATTTTGTTCTGCCATGTCATGTATTGCGAGCTTTTTACGTTGAGGATACACGTGATATGCCATCAGGGCCAGTTCTGAGGGGAGGCGAAGTAGGCGGTCGCATAGAGGCCACGGATTTTTGTAAAATTTGAAGGCCCCCAAATTGCTTTATACCTTTTATATATTAGCATTTATTCAAAAAACTTGTATATTATATATATAATTATTGAGAACCCCAATTCATAAGAAGGTATAATACACGATTTTTACTTGTTTCTATAATTCCTCTAATCATGGAGGCCCCGAATCACTAAATTTATAATGCATTAGTTATATATTTTTATATGTATTCACTTCTTCTAGTGCTACTCGATGAAAACTATCCTTAAAAAATTCATGGGCGTTGCCCCCGAACCTTCGGAAACTATGTGGTCACTATATCACAAATATATAGCCTTTGCCTCTGGTTATATACCTTACAAAAAAACGAGTTAACATAGAGTTTATCATCTTTTTTTTTTTATCAAAATAAATGAGTTTTGATGTAAATTTTAGAAGGGCCCCATTTTTCAACCGTCTTCAAATATTGCCTAGGTCCCCCAAAATTTCAGGAACGACTCTGTAGGCCATGGATGGTTCCTATTGATATTAAACCAAGAGACAACTTTGCTTTGTCTCCTGATGATCTCAATGCAGTTGAAGATGAATGTTATGAGATACTTCCTATAAACAATGACATTATTGCGATAGATGATATGGAAGAGTGACTAATTCTATTTGTTGATCAAATATTTTTTGAAGTATTGTTAGCTTATTTGGATTGTGATCTAATTCTTTTAATGTTATCATTTTGTTTGCCATATTTATAATCTTCTTTTAGTGACATAATTGTTATTATTGTGACATATTTTATTGTCTATAATGTCATGTATGTCATAATATATTTTTGTCTTCACTTTATTTTTGTACATGTGTATCTTATTTTCTTTCTCAGGCGAGCAATGTCGGAAGAGGATATTTATGTTGAGCCTATTATAGGTGCTGAGTCTACAGGTACCGATTTAGTTGATTTGGAGTTTGATGGTACTGTTATTCCCGTTGCACCCTGGAGGTACAAGTTGGTGGTGGAAATTAGTGATGAGGTTACACATTGGGACAATTTTAATTCATGCATTTCATGGCCTAAGTACCAAAAAGAGGGTCGTGTAGAGGGATTGTGGAAAACATTTAAGGTATTTCAAAGTTCAAATTATTTTATTTATTTCAATTATTTTAATTATTTTGTTACAAATTAATTATTGAATCTTTGGTATGCCTTTTAAGGAACTTGGAAACTTCCTGAAAATGAGGCTATAAAGAAATGGTTCAAAGAGACTGCCAATTTCGTTGGAAAGATGAAAAAACTAACAGATTGAAGGCGGTTTTTGATAAAGCACCAAACCTTGCAGCCGCTAAAACAAATCGTCGAATAGGATTAACGCTCAAACTTGGGAGAAACTATGCGATCAGTTTCAGTCTATTTCTACTCTGTGGATGATGGGAAGGTAAATTTTATGCTTTTAATTTGGTTATCATATTTTCATATATTAAAGTGCATTAATTTGTTCAATATTTTTCACAATCCAAATCAACTAAATGCAATCGAGAAAGAAAGTGTCGACAGACCACCATTGGGGTCGAACAAATATCAATAGTTGGTCCTACAGTCATGTAAGTGCCTTGATCTATAATTTTAATTTATTTAAGTTTATAATACCTTATAGTATAATCTATTTTTTAGTTAAAAAAGTTTGGCAAAAATCCTACGGTGTTTGATACGTATAAGA